TTCTAATGAAAAATTTCTTGTAATATGATGTATAAATTCCGTAAGATTCGGTTTCCATGGCGTCGGTTTTGATGTCTAATGATGTTTTGTTGAATTTTACTTTGATCGAAATTGCAGTGTGGCTTCTCTTGAAAAAGAGGTGTTAGATGCGCTAAATCTAGTGAAGGTGCCACTCTATATATTCTTTTGGTTAGTTTTGATGGTTGTTAAACAATTTGAAAAGTTTTGGTGGAAGTTTGAATGTTTGAAGTTAAGGTGTTTGTTGTTTTGCCGCAGAAATTAGGCCCCGATGTCCGAGAAGGAAAGCGAAGGCAGTTCAATTATATTGGTATTTAATTTCATTTCCGGTTTTTGATTTTGGATAGAGAATTATACAACAACATTCATTTTCAGAAAACTGAAAATAGGAAAGAATTCAGTAAATTTGGAAAGTTAGAACTCTTATTATGTTCACGGTCTTATGTCCACTTTATCAGAAACGGATCAGTTACTGAGAAAAGATGGATATAAGCCTAGATTAACTGCGATTTTGAGGTCTCCAATTTTCTTGCAAAATTCACGATCCTAAGATATTTTGATGCAGTAGACTTGCATGTACCTGAAACGTATTTGAACGTTCTCTTCTATTTTTATTATTTCATATTTTATCTTATTATTCGATTTTAATTGATGATTTTTCTTGAGTTTTTGAGCCATCATATCAAATTGTATGCTCTTTTGAATATATCTTGCTTGCTCTTAATCCAGTAAATGTTTTTAGGAAAACTATTGCGTGATGTGGAACCGGAGTTGATGGATACATTAATTCGGGCTACAAAAGATGGCGACCACAGTAAGCTGCAGGCTTTATCTGGTTCAAAGACAATAACATTTGGAGATAGTGATGAAGAATACGATGAATCTGATAGTGAGGATGAAGAGGAGGCATGCTCTATTTTCTCTCCTTTGCTGACTGGGTAGCCAAAAAGAGACGTTTTCATCTGATTTTTTTAGCGTTGTTGACAGGGCTCTCACATTGATATCGCGACCAGATGGTTGGATGGTTTAATCAGTAAGGACATGGAGATCACAAATGAGGTTTATTCCGTTTGTGATGTCGAGTTTGATCGTCAGGTTAGTAGACTGGTACCACACAACTTTGGTTACAATATGATTTAAGTACCTTCTTCGTCAATATCTCGGTAAACAGAAGCTAATGGAATATGCTGTTGGCATTTTTTATAGATATTATGCCTGTTTTAGGAACTTTCTCCAAGGACCATGTGTTTGCACTTGAACATTTTTCTTTTTAGTGGACCATCTTTTCAACTGATTTATACGAAAGATAAATTGTTGGGTTTCCTGCTCTTTATTACTTACGTTAGCATCTCTTGGCAGGAGTTGCGTAAACTTGTTAGAAGAGTTCACTCAGCTGAAGAGAAACACGAGAACGCTGTTGAGGAAAATAAGGTAGAAATAGATGCAGCAATTGTGGGCGCCACGAAGTCTCTAACCCGTTTCCTCCGTGCAATGGCAAAGCAAATGCCCAGTGCCTAATGCGTGAATCTGAATGGGTATTCTTTGTGACACTAACGGCATGTTTAC